GCTGTCAATTCTTGATCTTTGCTCTCATTTTTGTTGGTGGAAATAACCTTTTTCAAAGAGAATAGCAAAATAATCTATATCATTCATGTCTCTTGTTAATATTTTGCAATTTAGTGTAAAAAGCTACTTACATAATGTTTATTTATAAACCCTTTGAAACAAGGAACAGTTTGTTTTATTGTTTGTTCAATGATGTGTCAATTAACATAATAGTAATTGGAATTTATTTTCAGACCGTGTTTAACTAAATAGCGCCAGAGAAATTGCATTATTGCAGACATCACACCATTTGAATATTCCTTATTGATTTTCAAGTATATGGCAAAATAAGATATAGAATCGATGTTGCCAGCGAAATTGCAAAATGCTGCACTGAATGAAGGGACAAGCTTTACATCTATTATGTTATTTTTGATTATCAAAATAGTATTTCGGTTATTTGTATATTTAAAGGTTAAAAAGAAAAAATCGATTACCAAAAGAAAATAATAATGAAAAGCTGATTTTCACGTTTTTTTCATTTTGGTAATTTTCAATACATACATACATGTGAGAACCGGCTCTCGGTAATAAAATGTACTTTTACTGAATGTTAAAAGCTCGTGTAAGCGAGCAAACATGAACAGATGTAACTAAATATTTTGTTCTTCATCTGACAAATCATTTGATAGCTTAGGGGGCAATACACAGTTTTCAAGGCTTCTCGGCAAACAACTGACTGCGCCACAATCAAAACCTCACACACAAGTCTGTAATCACACACCTGAAATAAATGCATTTCATATTTAACATATACATATGTATCTCACAGCAAACAATTAAAAATACATGTCCACCTTCTAGTTTTCTGGCACATAGCCCTGTGTTTTTCATTGTTTTGGTCGCGAAAATCAACGACAAAAATAGCGGATTACCCCTATTCGCAAAATACAACAATATATTAACGTCAAAAGATTAAATCACAAGCTATAGTGATTCTTCCTTCTTAAACAATGCACAATCTGAAAATAACATCCAAACGGGGAGTCATGCACCTACTTTTTTCACTATTTTAAGTCTTCTGCATACCCTTTAAATTGAAGAGCTGATTCACCGCCTAGCTCCAAAAACCACATGTTCGCATCCGACAGGTGCTCTCTCAAAAAAGCAAGGGTTAACACCACTAAATTCAATTTTACTAAATAACTGAAACACAATACTAGTCATTGAAACTTGAAATATAGTAACTATAAACATTTAGAACCTCAAATATCCACTTCAATTTCAAAACTGTCTCTTATTTGTGAATTCCACCCTGGCCAATTCGAAACTAAACAGCCGAAACTGTGTACTGCCTCCTTAAAGCAGATTCATTTCGAGAGAAAATAATACTCATTTTTTCAGTATTTGTGCAAACGTGATAAAATCATCTTGATACAAGGCTTCATGTTCATGGTTTAATCGTGTAAAACAGCAGCAACTTGATGTTTTGCCATTTCTTAGTTCACTTTCATTCCTAAGGCTTTTTATATGATACATTTATACACCAGCAAACCGTGATAAAAATGAATAAGACTAATAAAACCTTAAAACTGTAAAGAAAACGTACAAGCAGTATTGCTTTTCGTCAGTTCTCTCGTTCGTACAAACAAAGTGAAGTATTTAGATATGTCACACACACAATCGCGTTTGATACATACAAACCTTCTTCACTGCACTAACAAAGTTTATATGATAATGAAAAAAAAAATTCCTTAATGTTTTGCACACTTGTATAGTTTTAGGAAATATCTCCTGATTATCACTTCTCTCTCTTCCCCTTGGTACGTGCACGTCGTTGAGATGACACAGGGCATCGGCAGATGGATGATTTAAGATCCACTTTAATGTGTAACACGGCAAGTTCGCATGCTCTTTGCCGCTCGGAGTAACGGTACGATTTAGCTTGTATAAAGTTAGATGCCGATGTCCTGATTAAAGCAGAGGGGAATGGCCCTACAATGTAGACAGGAACGACGAGGGAAGTGTGCTTTGGTGCGTCTGACATAGCAGATAGAGTGACTGCTTGAAATGCAGTTCATTTGCTGGCAGAACAGCCCTTTTCAGGGCTACCCTCTTTCTGTATTGTTTCAGGTTACCGTACATGTAGCTTCTCATTGGCCGCCGTACAGTGAACTACTTTTGGCTCAAAATTCATATATTTGCCAATACTCTGTGGAAATTGCATAGAGGTATATTATCACCACTTTGTGCTTAAAAATTAAAACATTACGTATATTACTGGTGATTTATCCGCAGGATCCGTACTCGACAGCGAAAGCTGATTTTTTGCACCTTAACGGGTTGATAGATCCTCATAAAACATAGAATTTGTACATACGTTAATGATTATCATAGTGGAATATAAAGCTAATGTATTAGGAATGATAAGAAACGTTTTAACAGCTCGAACCAAGAGCTAAGCTGATCTAAAAGTGACTGTTTCGACATAAAATTTTTATTATCAATATGCATTCTTATCACTGATAATATTGTCATCCCTTTAGAGAAAGGCCTATGTTATTCTCTGTTAATGTTTTAAAACAAATTGAAAAGATGAAATGCACTATTGTAATTGATCCTTCCAGATACGGAAGATTTTGCAAAGAAGTTTATATATTTATTTGCAATCTATATTCATCACTTTATAATTGATATAGAATGGTGTCTAGAAAGTTGAGTGGTTAATTATTCATTTATGTTGATTCTGTGTTTCAAATTTATCCTATATTTATAAACAATTAATGAATATTACATTACATATGCAAATTTTATACAATGTATAATCTACAAAATAAATCATGTTTGAAATATATTACAAATATAAAATCTTCATAATATTCTGCATGACATTTTCATTGCTGATTAGCACATACAGTATTACAGTAAAAAGCACTTAAAGCAGTCAAGGAAACCATTGTTTTCATTTCAAAACGTATCATTTATATATACCAGATTAAGTAAGTTCGTATCTAAATAAACCACTGTTTAATTTCAGTCAGTATCTACAAAATGAAAGTATTATTTAACTAAGGAGAGATAGAGAGTAAAACGTAAGTTCTGGAACATATAATGTGTTTACCTGAGCGGATAGTATTGGAAGATTACCAGGTTTTGAAGCTTGCAAAATGTTCCCAGGAATGTAAGGATGTATTATTGAATGTGAACTCGCGGTGGAATATTGTCTGTTCACAAGGATAAATGTTATAGTTATGCTGAGGTAAATATGTATTTTATTAGAAAAAAGTTAATTCTTTAGTTGTTGTTTCTTTAACACATACTTTGTTTGGATAGGCAAGTTCTTCAAACATTAAATTTTACAAATACAAAGATTTTTAACATTTAATGACCAGTCAGACCAATTGCATAACTATGACATTATTCTGTCATATCAACGACAACAAGGTTATAGGTAACGTAATTTAGAAACCTGTAATAAATAATGTGATTATTAGATACAGCATTTAAAGGAATGTATCAATTAGATTGTGTTTTATCACAAACACAATATAAAATGTATCAAAATGCAGTTTATGTAAATACCTAGGATGTAAGTGCAAATATGTCACCTGAGCAATTTGTGCTAACAAAAAGTTTGAAATATGTTAATGATGTAAACAGTAAAGTAGTGTGTTTATAAGAACTTGTTTCTGAAACAAGTAAACATTTAGCTATGTCCACCTAGCGACTTAAATATGGTTAAACGGAAAGGAGTTATCAAGATATAATTATACCTAAGATAAAAATATTGGATTATTCATAAATTGTAACGTGAAAGGAGCTCAAAATATGACGTCAGTATTGTTTGTTATCGGATGTTTTTACATTATATAATGTTGCCAAATGTACACGATCAATGGCAACTTGGTAGTTAACATTACGTTTTATCAAATGCATCTTGTAAACCAATACATATTCATTTATAAAAAAAAAATCAAGTAAAAATTAAAAAGGGCGTTTTTCTTTTTCAAGGGTAATATTTCTGTGTCAATATTTATTGGAAATAAAGCAGACAATTACATATTAAGTAACCATAGAATGCAGACGAGATTATTACTTATCGATAGATATAAAGCGAAATCATTAATGCGTAGTTTCTAAGCACATGTCATACATTATCTACAGGCGTAATTGTAATTATCATAGAAATAATATGACGCGTATATGCTGACGCGTATTTATCTGAAATGTCGAACAATAGAAATTTTGCTTGAACTATTAAATTGTCACCATTTAAAAAAGTGTCTCCTTAGTAGCGTAGTTAACGCTGAATATTATAATCATTTTTAAAATGTCAAACGCTGTTTAAAGTTCATTGACAGTCTGTTGACATTATATGGTAACGTGCTTTCTCTGCTAATCTTTCCAAATTGCCAAATGTGCCACGATAGTCATAAACGTATATAAATACAGAAAATTTTAATGCTCTTATACAGAATGAAAGAAGCTGCAATTATTCTAAGAAAATACAATTGTTCTAAAACATGTGATATCATTTCCCGAATGTGCAACTTATCATAAGGAAAGCCTATCAAAGCTAAAAGAATGTCATTATTTCTACTTAGGTACTTGTACATCCTTTTAAAACAAGAGAACAAAAATCAAGCAGGAAGAGCGTCATTCAGCAGATTTATATAACTTTAATTTCTTTATTTTTTTATTGATAGGACGTTTAATATTTTTGTCAGTTTATAAATCATTCGCCTGCATTATAGATGGTTTTATGGTAACATAGTTAAAATAAAATCAACTTTGAATAACAAGATAAATAAAGAAACGCTAAGCTACTGTTTCAATGCATGTTAATTTCTGATATAAAAGTGAAACGTGGTTTTGTGTGATAAGTGCGCAATAACAGAGTATTGTGTTTACGTTTTACATTGTATTGGAAAATAACCACATGCCAATGTTTGCAAGAGTCTGTAAGACTGTTGGGGAGCTGTTAATGCAGAGATATAAAAAGAGCCTCGTTTAATTTGGATATAAAGTAGGATATACTGTTGCTGAGGTGTAAATGCTTTACGTATAAACTTCTTCTTGACTTTAAGTCATACAAAATTTAGTTTTTGTAATTCAGAAGGATTTTGTATTTGACAATACAAACAAGGGATGGATATTGTCGTATGTCTCTGACAAAAGAAGTGTACTATTTAACTGATTTATATGATTTGCTTTAAAGCCAACAGACATCGTTGGACAGAGATAACTCTACTAGGAATGCAATACTATTTGTGAGTATTCTTAAAGAAATCTTCACATGCTATTGTATGGTATTTCATCCGCTACACGTGATAAGGGTTTTATATATAGTTTTAATCATACCAGATGTATTTTGTCGAAACATTCAATAATTGAAAATTTCTCAAATGTGTTTGTTAATGTTGTACATGTATATCTTTAGTTATGATTGAATTATATTACATGTACCACTTGTTATAACGGTTGGCTAAAATAAACACTGCAAGTCCGAAGGGAACAACCGTCAGTCCCTTGTGTGGTAGTTTTGCAAGGTGACTATTTTGTTAAACAAAACTACATGTGTATAAGCATTCAAGGTCGTTGGTGTAATTCTAATGATAAATTCATTGCAAGGATATCATGGTGTCATTTATAAGAAAATAGAACATCGAATACATTACGAAAACAAATGAGGAACACATTATACACTTTGCAGGTTTTGACCAATGTCCTCTTCAGTTATAACACATAATATTTTAATTGTTATGGTATTGTCCTTATAATGTTTATTCATTACCGTAAAGATCCTCTGTTAAAAAGGTTTATTTAAGAAGAAATCAGATAGGAATTTAGAGGTTGTCATTGATATTTGTATATAAAGATATAGGTCAATGGAATTTGTACAAATTTTATTTTGTTTATCTTGTGGCCGTGGTGGCCTTGACATTTTGTCGATTGACTTGATATAAATGAAAGTTCATTGTAAACTGTTACTGTTAGTATACTTGTAATTGCTCTACTCAATTTCACTTCTTTAGTAAATGAACTTTAACAACGTAAAAATACGCATTTAAGTTAATTCAGACATGTATAAGCGGTAACAACAGTGGTGTTTGAGATTTTATCAACATTCACAAGGTACACACATCTAAAATCATATTTATTTTAACAGAAAAAAAAACATCTGCATTTTTTAATAACAGGGCCGTGATAAAAAACTGTCTTATGTTATTTCTGTTATAAAATCATTCATCTCTGAACTTCAAAATATTTTGTTTACTTTACATTTCATTTATGTTCTTGAAATAAGACATTAACCTCTGGCAATTCTAGTTAGATTTTTAATTAATACTTTTTTAAGACGTGATTATATTTCTATCTCATAAAATACATTACTTTTAATGAATTCTCAAGAAAAGATCAACATAATATAAAGTGAAGATGTTAAGTGGTGTTTAAGAATCAAATTTTAATATCAATATTCCGCCAGCGCTTTATTTCTCCTCTGCCAAGGTAAAATAATGAAGGGCGTATACATGTTTTTTTTTTAAATTTTGGCAACTTAACAAATCTAAAGCAATGTTTGAAATAAAAGTAAATCAATGATGGTCTGTTTCCCTTCGGAATCATCTTTTTTAGTGAAGTCAGGAAATGGTATTCCACTCTTTTTCTTAGTTTTCGATATAAGGACAATCTCGTTTAAATTGCCTCTCAGCTTTATCTTTGATGTTTGCTATATTTACATGTAATAAGGAAATAAGTGCTAAGCCTCATCACCTTTTTAGTTTTGTTGGAGTTAATCAATATTGATAAAATTGTAGTTTTCAATCAAATAAAAATAATGTTAGCTTTAATGAAATGGAAATCTGCGTGGAAGGTAAAACAACAAAGAATACCAGTATCGTATTTTTACTGTAACTTAAATTACATCGTCATAAACTCTGGTGTTCATTGTCATTCGGACTTGTTTGGAACTTCATATATACATTATTTAGTCGCTGAAGACGGATTGTAATGTCTTTTGTGCGTTATGTTCAATTTCTTATTATGAATAAATGTGTACTGTTCTATTCAGAAATATTTACTATTGTAATAGGTCTGAATAAAGAACAGTCATTCGTTCAGGGAACAAGTATATAGTATTCTCAATTAAACATATTGTTAAATATAAGATACTCATATGTTTGAACCTCGTATTATAATAAATAAAAAAGTCATTGTGAACGTCGAAAGAATAGTTTTGTTTTCTTTGAATTTATAACCTAAATAATTAAATAGGGAAATTAAAAACTGTCATAGAATTACTACTTACTTGTTGAATTATTGGAAACTTGTTTTCATCTAGTATAAAAAGGCTTGCTTGTTGCGTGGTAAATATGTAATAACAGAACACCGGTATTATATGACTGCCAGCGCTAAAGTGTAATTTAGCGTGTTTTTGAAAGATACCTATTGTAACAATATGAAATATGAAATACTTGTTTATTGTTTTTGACTTTGTGTATTTAATGCATAGTTTTAAATTAATTTTGAACTTTGTGTACTTAATGCATAGTTTTAAATTAATTTTGAATCATGCATTGTTATACTATAAGAATTTCTAAATCATTGACAGACTGTTCTTACTGTTAACCTAGAGATATACCTTTGATAAAAGCTCCTTGTTTTCTGAGAATGATATGTTACTTGAAGTATTTATATAATCGTAAATATTGTTTTGAAAAATAACTGTTTACTGTTTTGTTTTAATTTCTTCTTTCTTTTAACTACTAAAGATACAAGCTATCTCATAGTTCTCCAACGACTGTAAGCGTCAATTGATGCTTAACACCTGACTTGTTCATTAACAGGTCACCAGTAAGTAATGATAATCGAATTGGTCAAATGTCCAACTGACCGACAAAACACCTAATTTACCTTCGATCGTTTAACCGACCTTTTAGTAATCTTCTTTTCGTCAGTCAGACTGAATTAGAGAAAATTTACGAAAAGAAGATCCGTTTTATATCAGGTGGTTATCAGCGTTGAATGTAGAACTTTTATCACCTAACTAATATTATGATAATAATAATGAGTCTGTTATACATATATGTGTATGTAATTCATATTGTATGTTTTGTTTATAGCATATTTTATGCAGTATTTATTGCAGATGGTTGTAGGTATACAATGTAATTAGGACATATAGCAGTACTGTTATGTAAGGTGTGAAAACGAATATTCTGAGAGGTTGTGTTGCGGGAACATTCCACATATGCTATATTCCAATCGGCTATAATAATGCTTTTACTCGTAACACAAAACTGCAGAGTAGAAAAAGAAACTTGAGATAATGAAATATAACAAAAATTGAGTAAAAAATACTTCTACCACCACTACGTACACTACATCACAACAACGCCTAATAAAAATTTGTATGAGAGATAATTACAGGAAGTAACAGAAATTTCTAATATAATTTATACATTTGTATGCATGAACAAACTTTACAAGTTATAGTTGAAACACAAAGTTTAATATCAGCATTTCATTTTTTTTTTCATTTAACTCATTTACATTTTATGTTTTTTTTTATTATATCGTGTAACGCGGAACTATACTGACAGGTTGAAAGCGTAAACAGACAATTAATGTCAGTTGTTTCTAGGTAAATATTTGATAAATAGATTTGGCTTTGTACCTGGTGTTTACTATCTCCATTTTATAACTTTGCGTTACAAAATTAGAACATTGAACTTTAAAAAGGAAGTTTTTAAGTTCAATGTTATTTAAGTTATATTTTTATGTGGAGTCGAATGATCATATTTTGATGATAGTTCATGTATATGAAATTATTACTTTGATGGAATTGTAACAAAATACAAGCTCATGCTCACATGCTCACGTTTATTCGTCGTTACCACGACAAACTTAATAAAACAATATAAACACAACAATATAAACACATTTTTGTTCATTCATTGAATGACATAGTAGTCTCTTTTTTTACCTTTTAGTAGAAATAAGTCTTTATTTTTTTTAATAAAAGATGTAAGGATTGATTGTTTTATGCTGTGATGTATCAGTAGATACAGATTTGCCATAATATTGATCTTCTATTATTACATTTTCATATAACATATGGTGCCTGCAGCGTGCAATGGATTCTATAGCTAATATAAATGAAATAAAGTAAATATTCATTTTGGTCTAGACACTTGCGATATGTTTGTACTTTATATATATATAACGTATCTCAGATATAAATAATTTCTAATTAATTCGCAACATAACCTTACTTTGTGCCATTCACTGAATGTACGAATAAAAATATTCTTTTTGCTTAATTTGATATTCATGAACATTCGTGTTTTGTAATCACACTAGTGGTTAAATTGCCTGTGTGTTTTCTAACGAGTAAATTGGTGTGGCTGTAGACGAAGTGCGTAATAGCAAAATATGATGTCTAAAGCCCCAGTCACACTAGAGCTTACGAGCAGTGAAGACCAGTTCACAATCACCAGTGACCTCTGGTCGCAGACAATCTTTAAAACGTCTTACGACGGTCATCTGTGATCTTTGGCAGTCGCAGGTTATCTTATTTAGGTCCCACGACCAATTTCAGTCGTAGAGAGGTTTTTGAGCTTGCACAAAAACCTCCTTGCGATCAAACAGGTCGCTAGTGATCTTAAAAAGTCTTAAGGCTGTCGCACGATGGTCGTTCGGAAGTGCGACAATCTTACGACAGTCTTTACAAATTGCCACTAGTCACTGATAATCCTAAGTAGTCTTTAGTAATCGTGTGATGGTCGTACGACAAGTTGTAGGTGATCGCATGTTATGTCACGGGTAGTCGTAAGTAATCCCAGGCAATCTTGAGACCATCGTACGTTTACTTATGACCTGTCGTACGATTGTCAATGATGACTTGTCTTACGATACTCGCAAACGTAAATTTATCTGTGCAAAAATGGTTTTGGTCGCAGACAATCGCTGATGATCGTCAGTTTTACAAGTCGCCGGTGGTCGCAAGTAATCGTAAGCTCTAGTGTGACTGGGGTTTAAGTTGACAAGATATTGGAAAATAACCGCCACCATGTATAATTGGCGCTATATTTTGTCGATCCTAAATGACCTCTAGTCTGATAGTATTCAAAATAGGATTTTAATTGCAATAAATCTTTATCTCGCTGAGTTTGTTTACTGACATTCTGTACAATGCTATACTTTCTTTACTGTTTAAAATAGACTTATTTACATATGATATTCCTAGATGTAATGAACGTAATTGTAT